TAAATTAGTGATAATTTAATAATAAATTAATGATAATTTAGTAGTAAATAATTAATAACCTTTTAGTAAATCAATAATAATATACTAATATATGCATAATACCTTAATGATAAATTAATTATAATATAGTTATAAATGCATAATAATATAGTACTAAATTAAAGACAACTTTAAAAAATATGTGACAACTTAGTAGTTAATTAATAATAAATCAATGATAACTTGATAGTAAATTAGTATTAATTTAATAGTAAATCAATTTTAGTTTAATAGTAATTAATTTACAGTAATAAATCATAAATAATTTAGTAGTAAATCAATAATAAATTAGTATTAAATAATTGATAATTTAATAGTTAATCATTGGAAATTTAAAAGTAAGTCAGTATAACTTAATAATAAATCCTCGAAAATCTAATAGTTAATTAATGATAACTTAACAATAAATTATGTAAAATTTAATATAAATTTGTAATAACTTGGTAGTGAATTATAAATAATTTAATGGTAAATCAATGATAATTTTATAATAAATATTAAAAATTAAGTGTAAATCAATAATATAACATAATAATAAATATATAAAATATCATAGTATATCATTAATAATTTAAGAGTAAATTAATAATTTAGCAGTAAATCACTAATAACATAATATAAAATTATTAATAATTTAATTATAAATCAGTGATAATTTAGTAGTAAATTAGTTAATCATTGACAACTTTTTAGTGAATCATTGATTAATTAATAATAAATCAATTATAACTTTATAATAATCGTCAATAACATAGTGGTAAATCACCAACAATTTAATAAAATCATTCATAACATAATGGTAAATAATTCATAAATTATTAGTAAATCATTGATAATTTAGTAATAAATAACTGATAATTTAATTATTAATCATTAATAATTTTTTTTTATACTTAAAGTTGTCAATGATTGAACCCTGATTACTAACAGAAATAAAGTCAAAACAAGTAATTAATAAAAATATGTGATAACTTAGTAGTTAATAATTGATAACTTAATAATAAATTAATGATATTTTAATAATAAATTAGTGATAAGTTAATAGTAAATAAATTTCAGTTTAATAGTAATTAATTGATAAACTTAATAATAAATCATATATAACTTAGTAGTAAATTAATAATAATTTAATAGCTAATCATTGAAAACTTAAAAGTAAATCAATGAAATTTAGTAGTAGTTAATCATCAATAATTTAATAATAAATTATAGATAATGTAATATAAATTAGTGATAACTTAATAATGAATCATGGTTAATTTAATAATAAATCTGTTATGATTTTGTAGAAAATAATCGAAAACTAAGTAGTAAATCAAATATAATAGTAAATTATTGATAATTTAGATATAAATTATTGATAGGTTAGTAATAAATCACTAATAACTTAATTGTAAATCAGTGATAATTTGATAATAAATTAGTTAATAATTAATAACTTTGTAGTAAATTATCGATAAATTAATAGTAAATCATTAACAATTTAAAAGTAAATCATTCATAATTTAGTAGTAAATCCTTCATAAATTAGTAGTAAATCAATGCTAATTTATTAGTAAATTGTTGATAATCAATAGTTTAGTAATAAATCATTAATAACATAATAGTAAATTATTAATAAAATAATTATCAATCATTGATAAGTTTTTTTTATAATTAAAGTTGTCAAGAATTGAACTTTCATTACTAGTAGAAACGAAGTTAGAAATTTCATCTTGGGATACTAAGATAGATCTACCACAAACTTATTCAATAAAAAAATTTAATGAAAAAATTCTAAATTTGAATGAAATAATAATATTATTATATAAAAAAAATTATCTTATACTAGAACTAAAACTGCACTTTCCTATGAGAATCTATTGTTAAATAAATGATGACACAATTAATTACTAAAATTACATTAAGAGGTTACTAAAATTTAATCATTGGTTACCAAAATTATATCATAAGTTACCAAACTAATGTCAAAAGTTATCAAAATTATATTGAATGTTACTAAAATTTTATCAAAAGTTAGGAAAATCAAAATTATATCAAAAGTTATCAAATTTTACTTATATTATATCAAAATTAAAATTAAATTATTAATATTTATCATTATTATCATAGTATCAAAAAATTTATTTATTAAAATGAATTTTTAAAAATAAGAATTACAGATGCGTCATGCATATGCTAAATACTAGTTTATATGTGTATGTGATCACAGTAAATTGTTTTTGCTTTGAGAATTATTAATAAATATAAATTTCAGGATTATAACTGAGGATAAACCACTTTTGTAGCTAAATGTGAAATCAGGCTTGTCATTTGACCAAGTATTGTATGTCAAGAGTTTATTTTTATAAAGGATCAACATGCTATATAACTGACAGACGGTTATCCCTATATTTATCCTCACTAAAACACCCTTGTTTTTACTGATGCAATATTTAGTAAGATGGTCTCTGTACGTTCTATTTTGGCAACCTTTACTATATTTGCAAATTGCCTCTTTATGGAATTATATAAATCCAATCTCTTCTTCACATGAACAAGCATACAAATCTAGAATCACTTTCTCCCTTTTCAGTTTGATTTAATTTGCGACGCTTTGAATTTCTTCAAATATGTCTATGGACAAGAAAATCATGATTGTTTACTTTTGTGTAATATTGGTGGGCTCGATCTTGATTGGAGAAGCCAATGCAGGACCAACAATTAGCACCCCGGCCATGGCAGTTAATCGTGAAGGTCCATGCAGAGGAGGGAATTGTCTGCCACCTGAATCAAATCCTGAAAATAGGGGCTGTGAAAAAACCATGAGATGTCGAAACCCATGAAGTTGCTCATCCCTAAAAAGCCTTTATTCCCATTGTTCGATGTGTTCTTACTATGTCTTTTGCCTATATCATTATGGAATTATATAAATCAATCACTTCTACCGACTAATAAAGCCTCTCAAATGTACAAATTGTTATCTACTTTTCATCTATAATATATCAAAAAACAATTAATGCTTCACATTTTGATTTAATCCTTATTTTGTTTGTTACCTTTGATACTTGAAATATTCCTTTGTCTAAGACAATCATTTCTTTTTGTTGCTTTTTGTGCAATGTGGGTGTGTTTAGTCTTGATTAATTTGAGATGCAAATGTGCAAGCAGTGGTTGGAAACCCAAGTATGGAAAGCAATTTCCACATCCATGCTCCAGAGGAAAATCCTGGAAAATAATGGAAGTTGTGAAAGAACTACCAATGCCAACGTGGTAATTAATTAATCACACTAGCCATCAAGTTGTCTCAGGTTTAGAGAGAGTATTTTACTGAAATGTTTTATATGAAACTTAGCAATTTTAGATATAACACGATGACATATCACAAAAATGATACCCCAAAAAAAAAAAAGAAAGTGACAGAATTTAAATTGAAAAGCATAATAATGATAGAGTGCAGCCTGTTTTATTGGTAGAGATTGGTGCTGATCCTTTTGTGGAAACCAAACTGAGGATGTAAAAGTGGAAATCAAATTATGTGCTGACCGAAAAGTGGAATGAAGGGAAATTCATAATTAGTGATGAATGGGGTTAATGCTGTCATTGAATTATGGTCTTTCTGACACAAGTCAAGGCTATATTTTGCACTCGATGTAGTTGAAGAAGAAGCATGATCATGATGTAAAGCCAGTACAACACCTATCTTCTGTTGGATCAGAATGACAATTCAGGATTCAGGTGTCTTGCTTCTCTCTTAGCGGTGATCCAAAGGGGTTTGGACAGTGTTGAAATATATCCTAAACTCAAGGTATTCAAATCCTTTCACTCTCAAAGATTGCATAAGTTTTAGGTCAATCAATTCTATTTATGAGCCCCTCAAGAACAATTACAGGACACTCCTGTGCTTCCAGATATGCTGAGCTCCACTGCGTTCCTTGCTTCTCACTTCTGCTCATCACTTAATAAAACCTGAGCTTGATTGAAATTAGATTTGAACCTGATTGCCGGAGTAAATTTTGAAGGATTACCTGTCAATTAATAGAGCAAAAACAACATTATTGATCTGACTACAACACTATCCATTCTAAATTTAGCATTCCATCATCATTTGAACCAGTAAAACTATTCTCTACTGCTATTAGCAGCCAATCTTTGAAGGAAAAATTTTAGGTTCACATCATATCCATCAAGTCTTAATCCAATATTTGTATAATTCTCAATTCTTAAATGACTGCCTGGTTTATCAGTTATGTTCAACTCCCTGGTCCCCTCCCGGAACCCTCTCACTTTCCTCCTTTTTTCCAAAGCAAAGGCTAGTTCATAAAGTACAAATTTAGAGTTGGTAGAAGACAATTTTTGAACTAAAGATGTTTTATCATGTTCAAAGTACATAAGAGAGCAAAAGAACAAAATCATTACTTCCTTTTGGAAGGGAAATATAGAAAGTAACAGCTAAAAAATACAACATATTTTAAAACTATAACATGTGCATGTCCAGCTTTTTTTGTCATTTGAATTGTGTTAACTTCTAGTGTCCACATTCATTCCTGTACCTAAAAAACTCCTATCATCCAAATATTGTCAATCAAATTCATAAATTTGCAACAAACAAAATCATGTGATTCAATGCATTTCTTTGTTTACATTTTTCCCTGGCACGGAAAAATGATCCAAACTGATCTTTCGCTTTCTGATGCAGTGCTTGCAGCCAAAAATAAGCCATCAAAATGGGCTGCATCAAAGGTCATAAATCTTCGTAAATTAAACCTCAAAACCCCAGTCAAAAGAAAACATTCTTGTATGGGAAAAAGCCAAGTACCAATTAGCTGAAGACAACTGTTTCGTATAACCAGGTCATCGGGTCAACCCATTTCAATAGATAATTTAGATATATCTAACCAAAAAACAAAATTTATAGCACATGCCATTGTTTTTGTACGTGCTGATAATTTTCTGCTGTAAAAAACAACTTCCTTTTTCACGTAAAGATTCCTTTGACCCATTGTTTTATATACGGGCAGGCCAACGACCATATCTTAATCGTGCACTAGCCAACTTTCCACCCCCCCTCCCTTTTTTTTTTTCTTCATCATCTTTTGTTTAGATTCTTTCTGCTTTGATTTCATGGCAACAACATCAACACCAGATTCATCTTCAGATTTAAGTATTACTGTTGAAAACGATCCTTCAGATTCGCGATTATCTGAATTGGGTATTAAATCATGGCCTAAGTAAGTATCTAAACCCACATGCATGCTAAACCATGTTTCAAGCTGTTCTAAATTGTTTCCTGGATCATGATTTCTTTTCCTTTTTGGGTTTTTTCTTGGTAGATGGGGGTGTCCTCCAGGGAAGTATTTGCTGAAATTTGATGCTGAAGAGACTTGCTATTTGCTTAAAGGAAAGGTGAAGGTGTATCCAAAAGGGTCATCTGAATTTGTAGAATTTGGTGCAGGTGATCTTGTGACAATCCCGCAGGGACTTAGTTGCACTTGGGATGTATCTGTTGCAATTGATAAACACTATAAATTTGCTTCTTCTCCATCTTCATAATTCTACCATATTTTGTAGCCATCTTATCTTCCGTTTTTTCTCTCTTTTCTCCTTTTAATGATAGATTATTTTCATCCAATCAAGTTCGACAACAAAGATAATATATATTCTTTTTAGAGTTCGTTTATTATTAATTTTTTAATTTGACAAGTAAGATTAAAAGATCTTTTCAAGTAGAATTAAGATAATATTTTTTTTTTAGATTTAATATAAGATAATTTTTTAATTTCATGCATCTTTAATCTGATATATGAAGAATATTAAAAGCTTTTAATGTATGACATATGATGTGATATTTTCGTAAAAGCAACAAATTAAAGCTGACACTGTATATCTTTTTTACTTGTTCTAACTTCTAACCCAGACGCAACGATAAACACCCATTTTTCAGATGGTGACTTTGCACCATGATTATGACTTTTGTGCACAAATGAATGGCGTGGATTGATGAAGTGATCGAATTTCTTGCTATGGCATGTATGTATAATGATGTTAAAAGAAGGTTAAATATTCTTTTGGATCTAATATTATATTTTTTTTCTTAATTTGACATTTAATTATTTGAATTTATATTAGATCCAGTATTTTGGTTTAGATTATTATTGTTAGTTAAGTAGTTGATGTGACCACAACATCTAATAAAATTTTAATACATCTAAAAATGTTTAGCAATTGTCATATCTATTGTCACATTAGTAAGAAAAAATTAAAAAAGAAAATTTTTTAAAGAATTATAAAAACATTAAAATTTTCAAAAAAATATGGAAAATTTTATTAAAAATTCCAAAATTTCAAAACAAAAGATTAAATATTTTATTTTAACAAAAAGTTCAAATTTAAATAAGTACAAAAAATAAAAAATATATGATTTTTTTAAATAAATATTGAAAAAATTTTGGAAAATTTATAAAAATTTGAAATATTGAATTTTGAAAAATGATAAGTTTTTTATAATTGAAACTGAATTGAGTCATAATCATTGAAATTATAAGTTTAACATTCAATCATCAAATTTATAGAAAAAAATAATTCAATCAATGGACCACAAAACGATAATTACTTTGAACCTAATTTTGACTTTATAAATGACAAGACCCAAAATGAGCTGATAACAATCCAACGTCAATAAACAGAGAGATACAGGAGTCCTGACTAGCCATAGTCAACATGTGTCGAAGCCATGAATTCCAACTTTATGACCCAACTTTTTTTTTCTTTTTTGTGTGTGTGTGTGTGTGTGAAGAAAGTTTTGTTTGATTATTAACCTTTATCGCTATGTCCATCAAAGAAGGTGATGATGATGACTCGAGAGTTTTGAGATCTCTAATAAGAAAACAAAGAGAAAACAGTGATGGTCATTGCAGAATTTGTTATGAACCAGCAATTATGTTGTCAAAATTAGCTTGTATCAATTGTAAGAACATTTTTTTTATGGTTGAAATTTTTTGTCTTTTCTGGGTTGTCTGCTTGTCCAATTGCGAGAACAATGATGGTGAAATTGCATGTTTCTGAAACACCAAATTAAGCTTCAGACACGAAGCTATTTGTCAGACAAGCTAGGTGACAAGAAATCCTTTGAATTAGTCCCTAGGAAATTGACACATGTCCTATGGTTACGTTGTTTCCTCACTCTCCCAAATGTTTGGCACATAAACCGTTCCTCTTACTTTTACAACAATTATCAACCATCCAAATTCCGACATTATTTTCAATAGAAATTCTCAAACAAATCTGCAAATTTGTTTACCATTAGTCAGTGTTTTGTTTTCTCCTCAAGAAAATCAGTTGCCATATCGATTAAACATGATGGAACATTTCAATTTCTGTAAAACGTATCTCCACCACCCTCTACTCCAACTATTATATGCAGTGTTGTTGATTTTGTCAAGCATCCCAGTGTCCTTGTCTGAGATCAAGAACATTTGGATTTTCGATGATTACCGATCTATGATCTTATTTGAAAATTTCGGATTTCGCAAAAATGGCCATATAGAAATTTCGGTAAGAAATGTTACATGGGCATCGAGACATCAAAACACACAATTCAACCCGTCTTCCATGGGATTTTTCATTGCAAACGTCCCTTCATTTCGTAGCATTTGGAATGAATCACAGTATATTGAAGGCTTTTGTGGATTATCAAGCAGGTATGCGAAGCTCATATTCAAGTTCGAAAACCTCACTGCTGATTCAACTTACAACGGTTCTATAGAAATCGATGAGCCTGATGAATATAATTTGGTCTTCGGAAACTGTCAACCAGAATTCAAAGTGTCAATGCGTGTTCATACAGAAATGTATAACCTGAAAGAAGGTGAAAAGGATTTCCTGCCTGCAGGCCAAACCACATTGCCAAAACTCTATTTTCTCTTCTTTTTGATATATGCAGGATTTTTCTTTATTTGGGTTTTTGCATGTATCAATCAAAGACCTAAAGTTGAGAAGATTCATTTGATAATGGGTGCATTACTTCTATTCAAGTGTCTAAAAATGATTTGTGTTTCTGAGGACAAAATGTATGTCAGGAAAACAGGTACTCCCCATGGATGGGATGTGGCGTTTTACGTTTTCGGATTCTTCAAAGGTATAATGTTGTTCACTGTGATAATCCTGATAGGAACAGGCTGGTCATTCCTGAAACCTTACCTTCAAGAACGCGAAAAACAGGTTTTGATGACAGTAATTCCATTACAGGTTCTTGAAAACATAGCTTATGTGGTTATCAGTGAAACCGGGCCTGCAACAAAAGATTGGATGACATGGAACCAACTGTTCTTGCTGATTGATATCTCTTGTTGTTGTGTAGTGTTTTTCCCAATCATTTGGTCAATAAGAAGCCTGAGGGAAGCATCCAAGACAGATGGAAAGGCAGCTAAGAACCTGGAAAAATTGACACTTTTCAAGCAGTTTTACATTGTTGTGATAGGGTATTTGTACTTCACAAGAATTGTGGTTTCAGCAGTTGGGGCTTTCCTGAATTACAGATTGGAATGGTTGATAACTGTTTTGGAAGAGGGTGCAAGCTTGGTTTTCTATGCTTTTATTTTCTACAATTTTCAGCCAATGGAAAAGAATCCATATTTATTGATTAATGATGAGGAAGAGAATGCAGCAGCTCAAATGTTGGAAGAAGATGACCCATTTGAACTATAGGGGCTTCTTTTTATACTATAATAATAATGTTGAATTAACTTACTTAGACAGGTTCTAGTTTTGTATGTCAATTCAAGAAAAAAGGAAGCCTTGAGAGTTAAATTTCAGAATTTCTTTGTAATCTTATATGTACAACTTCATCTTCCTCAAAAGAAAATCTGAAATTTTATGATTTCATTATTTCTCTCGTGAAATAATGCTCAAAATCAAATATCAGCCTTTGTTTTCCTTTTTGGATACATAGATACTATCTTTCCATGCACACAAAAAAAAAAAAAAGAAAAAAGAAAAAGGAAAAAAAACCATTCTTTCAAATAGATATAAAAGTATTTGGATGTTATATTCAAATATATATATATATATATATATGAATGTTTAAAAAGATCGATATATAGTTTTTAAACTTCATAAATAAAATTAATAGAATGATACATATATCTTGTTTATAATAAATATAATAAAAAATTAAAAAAAATGAAATATATGATAATCTTTAACTCTCTTATAAAGTTAAAATATTCCAATGTTAATATATTAAAAATGAATTCTTTAATATATTAACTTATATGTTTACTTATGAAAATATAAGTAAATCAAAGTTTATCTATAAATAAAATGTATTTGAAAATTATAAAAATTCAACTAACATCCATAATTGATCAAAATAACTTAAGGTTTAAAAAATAAAATTTAAATTTCATCACATACAATCTCTTCTTTTTTTTTTTTTTTTCATATTGCAATTTCTGTAAAAGAATAACTTGAGTTCAAGTAGTCCTATAATAATTTAATACTCCAATTTAGCTTCTTGCATGGTTTCTTTTTAAGAGTTACTGGCAAGGTTAAACGAATTTTTCATTTAATTTTTTAATAAAAATAAATATTAAAAACAAAATAGAAAGAAAAAAAAATTAAAGTATGTAATTTTTTTGCCATTGAAGTAAGTAACACTTATTGCTATGGAAGTAGATATAAAAAAGAAAAAAAAAATCCAATTAATGTAGTCCAAAATTGCAAAACTATTTAAAAGAAAATTGTAAAAACCAAAAAGAAAGAAACAAATTTTCACATCACGTACAAGTAGATAAAATATAAGCGATACTTGTAGGTCCAAATAGTAAAGAGTTTGATTTTTTTAAGTAAAATTTTAATTTTGAATATTATGAATAAAAAAATAAATTTGAAAGAGTTTGATCTCTTTATGAGATTTGACTCAATTAAATTTTGAATTAATAGAAATTTAAAATGATTATTGAATATTAAAAAATTTTAAATAAAAAATATATATAATTAATCATTTAATTATATGAATATTTTAAAAATGATTATTTAATTATTAATTATATTTAAATTTAAATAAATTTTTTATCATTTATTAATTTTTAATAATGAAATGAGATAACTACATTTATCAATAATTATATATCACATGACAGTATCTTTTTATTTGACATGCTATACGGCCTATTAACAATTGATATAAAAAATTATGTGATGTTGAGAGCTTGCGTAATAGTGTTATGTCAATAAATTATTAAATATTAACGGTTGAATAACAAAAATATTTATTTAAATTTAAAAAATTAATAGTTAAGTTATTAAATTAAAAATTAATGGTTAAGAGATTATTTTAAAAACAAATTTATAATTGTGTCACTAAAGATTATCTTAGCCTGCAATAAATTACATTCCTAACCTTTTCACACTTATTTCCTTCCTGTTACCAACAAAAGCAACTGCCAACGCTCCCTCTCTTTGGTGCGCTTACTCTCTTCTTCCTCTCCCTACCCAATCTCTGACTCGCCCGATCCCAGCACCGAGTCTACTCATCGCCACCTCTACCAAGTCGGAGATCGTCAAATCCGATGGCGATCCCTCCAAAGTCTGTCGCCGCCGTTATCCCCACTGAGGAGGGTATAGCGAGAAGGTTCTGGATCAAGTTTCGTAGAGAGTCCGTGCTCTCCCTTTACTCGCCTTTTGCTCTTTGTTTGGCGTCTGGGTCTCTCAAGATCGACACCTTTCGTCATTATATTGCCCAAGATGTACACTTTCTCAAAGCCTTTGCTCAAGCGTGAGTCTTTTTTTCCCTCAATTTTTTGGTCTTTTGATGGATTTTCAATCTGGGTTTTGTTTGGTTTGGAGTATATATTTTTGGGTTTTCTTCTAATCTTCCATTTGTTAAAGAAATGTAGTCACAACTCACAAGCTTGAGTTTTTCAGCTTTTTTTTTTCTTGTTTCCGAGTTTTCCTTTGTTGTTAATTTTGTGATCTTTTGTATAGATTTTTATCTTTTTTTTGGATAATCGAATCTTGGGTTTCCTTTTTTATCTGATTCTAGCGGCTAAAGGGTGTACTTAGAAATGGGAGGCTTTTTTTAGATGCACTTTACATTTTTGTTCGATTTTGATATGAGCTAAATGGGATGATGAAGTTGAAGCTGCAGCAGAATACCTGCACAACTTGATAAGAAGCAGGAGAAGAAGAATCGAGAGAAAGAAATAAGAATTTTTCTATATTGTATATTCTTCCGACTTCAGTCACTCCAATACATCATATATCACTCCAATACAACGACCCCCTTGTACTTAGCACCTCGGTAACTAATCCCATATTAACTGACTTAACAGACATTTAAAATAAGTTTATGTTTATTGGACTGGACTTCAATAATACCCAATCAGTCCAAGTAGTCCAATCCTTCAAACAGCCTGTAACAGATTTATTGCTTATTTGGTATTATTGTGTAGTTGTTTTGAGGGTGCAAGAATGGGGAAGGGAATTGGAATCTCAATCTTGGCTTTTGCGTATGGAGATTGATATTTCCTTTTAATGGTTAATTGGTTCAGAAGAAAATGAAGATGAACAATGAATCTTTTAAATTATGAAGATATTTTCTTTTCTACATCTAAATTAGATATTTATGAATTGGTTAGTTTGTTATATTGTTACAAGTTGGCGTGCTTTGGAATGACATGAAGTTCTGATTTTTACTTATTATTAATCTTATCTGGCCAAAGATTTATGTAGAAATGGTTTGATAAATCTGCTTTATTTTTAGTTGCATTTAATTCAAAATTAAAATAAAATTGAAGAATCAACATTTAATTTTCAACTCTTCAACGGTGTAGAATTAGTGCATGCCCCTGCTAACTTGCTGATATTCTGGTAAGGGACAGCATTATGATTTTTTACATCCCTTATTGAGTTGTGAAAAGTGGGAATTTGTGATTGTAAACCGAGATCTTCTTTTATATGAAACTCTGTTGATATTTGAGTGTTGAGTTTCTATTTTACGATTGATATAGATATTTTCCAACTCATTCCTAGTTATTGGTTGCTGAGAAAGTGTACAAAAAGAAGATGAATGAACTTTTAATTTCTAAGCACCATTTGGTTGCTTTAGTAATTATTCAGATGTTTACTTTCTTTTCTTTTTGCCAGCTTTCTCAGCAACCAATTGGAGACTTATATTGTTATTATTTGGGAAAAAACTAATTACACTGCTTGAGGTGAGTTTCAGTTTCTAGAATTTAAATTGACATGTATTGGTAGATTTAAAAAGACTATCTTTTTCTCTTCACTAGTTTTAATTAGAATTGCCTTATGCTGTTTATACGTAGGTTCTTAATTGATTTCTTGTTTTCTTCAATCTGGATTTTAGGTGTGAATTGGCAGAAGACTGTGCAGATGATGATGATGCAAAGTTAGCAATCTCTGAGTTAAGGAAGGGTGTCTTGGAGGAGCTAAAAATGCATGATTCTTTTGTACAGGTATGATAAAAGGATTCTTCTTTTCTGTTGGATATTACATGCTCAATCATTGGAAAAGTTGAGATGAAAAAAGGAAATTGAACTTCATTTTTTATTGCTGTTTCTCGTAGATTTGTAAAATATTGTATCACCAACTAGTTAAAACAGGATTTACTAGGAATATATTGGCGTCCAGGAGATGCTACCATGGAAATTTAATCCAGAGCTTTTGTACTAAATCAGTCTTGATCGTATATGGTACTCACTATCTAACTTCATTATTCAATTATTTAATGACATGAAAGGTGCATTCGTTGGATTTCATTTTCCTCTTTTGTCTGATGATATAGAGGGCTAGCCTATGAAATATTTGGTACTTTTAGCGGATGACAAGTTTTGATTGGATGAGGGTTCGACTTTCATATGATAAGTCCTGTAAATCATCACTCAGAGAAATCTTATAATGAGATTTAAGGAGATAATCATATTTTTTGAATAGTTACCATCTACCTTGTTATGCTGTTTACAATTCTACGAAGCTCAGAGGAATCTTATAAAGAGTTTAAGGAGATAATCATATTTTTTGAATAGTTACTATCTACCTTGTTATGCTGTTTACAATTCTACGAAGCTTCATCTACACTCTAAGATAGTTACTTAATAATTCATATGCATATCAACATCTCCTTAGTTCTTGTCTTGTTAGAGTATCCTCGTGATCTGAATGCTGGAGTTCTGCAGGAGTGGGGTTCTGACTGTGTTAAAGAGAGCCCTGTCAATTCTGCAACTTTAAAGTATACAGAATTCTTGCTGGCAACAGCTTCTGGGAAAGTTGAAGGACTAAAAGCTCCAGGACAACTTGCCACCCCATTTGAGAAAACAAAAATTGCAGCTTACACTCTAGGGGCCATGACACCTTGTATGAGGCTGTATGCCTTTTTGGGTAAGGAGTTTCAGGCACTTCTAGAACCCAATGAGCATGATCACCCATACAAAAAGTGGATTGAGACTTATTCGTCTGAAAGTTTTCAGGTGTGGCATTGATTGCATTACTTGTTTAGCAGTCAACTTGATTATACTATGCTTATTACAGCCTTGGAGGAAAAATCATTAAATTAATGGCCTTTAAAATCCCACAGCTCAACTATTGATTCTTTTAATTTAGGCATCAGCTCTGCAAACCGAAGACTTGCTGGATAAACTTAGTGTCTCTTTGACAGGCGAGGAACTAAACATCATTGAGAAGCTTTA